ATACCGATCACTACCCTCCGGTAGCCAATACAGCTTATCCTCTCCAGTGATCTTATCCGGATCAACACCTTCCTTCTTCAGCCTACCCTTCTGAATCTTCAGAGTGCCCGTATACTCCAATGCAGGCGTCACCCTTAGAAACAGCGGCACTGCATAACTCGGCAAGACTGCTCTCGCATGCTTCGCCAGAGCTGCAAAGTTGAATGTCGACTCTGTGACTCCATCGGCCATGACGATGGATGCAGTGCCTGCTCGGCCGTCGTATCCAGGGACGAGAACGCCGTATGCGTTTGTCTCAGCGATCTGTGGGAACTTACCGAGCATGTCGGCCACTTCGTTTGTCGATACGTTCTCAGACTTCCAACGGAATGTGTCACCGAGACGGTCAACGAAAAAGACGCGGCCGTCCGCATCTTGTCGCATCATATCGCCGGACTTGAACCATCTGCTATCATCAGCTTACAGTCGACGAGCTTAAAAGGGTGACTTACATATCGCCCTTCTCGAACACATCCCTAATCCTCCTATTCTCCGTGGCGCCCTCGTTGTTGTAATAGCCTGGTGAAGTAGCCACAGTCTCCGGAGTCAATCTGTGCAGCACCTGGCCGGGCTCGTTGACTCCACATCTGATCGCAAAGCCGTTTGCATCTCTCATGATCTCTTCCGTATCGACATCCATTTTCACTCTCACTTCCTGGTCGCTGAATCGCCAATTCCAGATTAGCCCCCGAAGACCAATGCTATTCGCCGTGAAGGGACCAGCGTTGCGATTGAATGTCGCACCCAGCCCGTCAGTAGCCGCATATAGTTCGTTGATGATAGGTATGTTGAAACGTTCGCGGAAGGGTTCCCATACATCAGGGCGCATACCGTTGCCCCATGCCATCTGCACCTTGTGTCTCCGTTCGTGCGTATTCGGTGGGCCGTTGAGTAGATATCTGCAGAGCTCGCCGACATACTGAATGATGTCCGCATCTGAAGCTGCGACCTCAGGCCAGAAGGTCTTGTGCGAAAACCTCCGGCTCAATACGACTGTACCACCAGAATGAACTATCGGTGTGACGCAAAGGCCATGTGCTGCTCCGTGATAGAGCGGCATACATGTGTACATCCTGCTTTCTGGCTTAAGCTCAAGGTATTTGGCGGCGCTGTAGCCAGTCAAGAGCTCGCGACCAGTGCTCAAAGTCACGGCTTTGGGCAGTCCGGTCGTTCCAGAAGTATACATCAGCGAGCGGAGGGACTCTATAGTAACGTGGTCGCGGCGTGAGTCTGGTATGGGTGTCGAGTTTGGTAGCGACGCGAAGAAGGAGGGATTGTAGTAGTGTATCTTTACGCCTGTCTCTTCAAGGTCCATACGGCATGGCTCCACATTGCTCTTTACATCGGCGTCTGCGATGAGGAATCTGGAGTTGCATATCTATTCCAAAGGTCAACCAGTTTCTACGCGTTCATTTCCAGGAACACTTACTCTCGCGCAATGCACCAACCCCGTCCCAGTGAGGTTCCAATTGACGAAGCTAGGAATAGCTCCAATCCCATCCAGAGCAAACCAGAGCATCAGATACTCTGGACTATTCCCACCATCCATAGCAACTACCTCATCGGCTTGTATACCCAGGTCCTCTATCAGCCAATTCCCCACCCTCGTGAACGCATCAAAGAACTCCTTGTATGACCACGTTCTGCCTTCGAAGATGAGGAACGGGTGGTTTGGTTGTTTGCAGACCTGGTCTTCGAAGACATGGTACGTGAGGGCGCGTTTTCGAACCGCGCGATCGGTCATGAAGTCGACGACATCTTGCGTCGGCGAGAGACCGCCGCGGGCATGCTTGAGGTCGTGGGCGATATGGTGTTTCGCGTTGAGGTAGGCGGCGAGGGCTGCTGTGCCTGCTGCTCCGGCGATGATGGGTACTTGAAGGTGTCAGCATCTGACGGTAACCTAAAAGAGCGGAAGTAGAAGCTTACACGCCATGATACTGAATGTTTTCAACTTGTTGTTCTCTTTTAGACGCGTACAGGGAGAACGCGATGTCGAATCGTCTTCTCAACCCCAATCACCCGAGAGTGCCAGAGACGATGCGCGAAAGCAAGTAGGAAGATCCATCGCTAAAGCTGCCTTTAGCAGTAGTCGGAGTCGGAAGCAAGCTACGTACACCGAGGTTGTTATTGTCGTAGTGACGCGACTCAGGGGCCGTCCACTTCCCCGCATTCTAGCTTATTTCCGATAAACCCGCTGCAGGCAAGACCGACTCGAGAACTTTATTGCTACCACAACTACAGTCCCTTCTATGATGATTAGCGATCAAGTCTTGCCATCTTCCGCATCTTCCGATGTATTGACACGTGGTTTCTATGGCTTCTATATTGATATCAGCTTCTTCGCCACAAGCTGCCTCAAGGGAAGTGTGAGCCAAGTTTCGACAATGGTCTAGAGAAGAAATATGTACCTGCAATGCTTCAACGAGCCTGATGCCACCCATTCTATGGTACCGCTCCAAGATACTATACAAACTCCCTCAAACTCAAATCCACCAACCTAGATAACATCCATACACATCTCCCACGACCCCCCTTCCTCCCTCCCCCTCCTCCTCTCGCCCATAACCCCCCTCTCAAGCTCCAGTCCCACAACCCTCGCAGGCCACTCAATCAACCCCCACTTCTCCCGTCCCAATACCATCGCAACCGCCGTCACGATATCCGCGCCCAGCCCCTCAAGCCACCACACATTCCGCACTCTACCAGGCAACACGGCATAGTGCGCTAGGATAACGAGCGCGTGAGGATTTTTGGCTTCGATCAAGGCGAGGAATTCGCGGGGTATGCGTGTCGCCCAGACGAAGATTGCGCCGCGGTCTTTGAGCGTGGAGATGGTTGTGTCGTCGATGGAGTAGGGGACTGCGGTCATTGGGGGATAGCGTTCAGGCAGTGTTAACTGACTTATTAGATTGAAGCTTTGGCGGAGATAGAGGAGGGCCTCTGAGAGGTGCTCGCGGTGTTGTGCGTCTAGGTTTGTCTCGCTGTCGTTCGTCAATAGGTCTTCTATGGCGGCGAGACGGGCGTCTTCGTTAAGGGCTCGTGGGGTCGCGGGCGTGGTGGTTCGCGGCCACCATTCTCGGGCTGTGACGGGATGGAGATCACTTCCTACAACCCAGTTCCAACCTGAGAGAAGGACGGTGAGGGGACCGCGGAGGCCCCAGATGGTGCGAAGCGCGCAGGAGAGCATTTTGTTGGCTACGTCTGGTGGTGGGACGGTGGTATCGGGTGGTATTGAAGCGATCAGGTTCTCGATGTCTATCGCGGAGGTGCGGAAGAGATATACAGCTGTGAATGTTGAACTCGCAAAGAGTGCCGCTGCGTTATTTTGCGTTATGTTTTCAAGCTCTGTTCTATATCTCACTAGAGCTTTATTCATACGCGCCGCTGCTAACGCGTTCATCCGCCTCTTATCCTCTTTGCGATCGTAAAGTCGACCGAGATGTAATGAGGCGACGGAAAGTACGCAGTTCGTTAGGAAGTCATGATTTTGCGCCATCTCAGGGACGTAGGTTTGCCATGCTGCCTTTGCGGGGTCGTCATTTGCGAGTGTGAGGGATGTTGTGAATTCGTAATGACATAGGACTTCTTGTAGTGGTGGTGGGAGGAGCTCTCGGATGTTTTTCCAGGCATCGTCTAAGCGCAGGTAAGGCGGTATGGTGAGCTCAGGGAAGTACCCCCCTTGATAGTCCCTTTGAGAAGGCGAGACGGTCAAGCTTGTAGAGAAGTCTATTGGTATATCGTCCAAAAAGACCTCAGTTTGGCGTGGCGTCTGCGTGGCGAGGGCTACTTCATTACTGAATGCGGTGAGATTGGTTGGCGAGTAAGCCGGTGTGTTTTGGGTTTCTGGTGTGCTTGGTATCGGCGATGGTGATATTATGTGCTGTTGTGTTGATGTGGGTGATGTCGAAGTTGTCGAGAGGCGTGACGAAGGAGCGAGCATGAGAAAGCTGCATGTGTCGCCTTTCTTGTCGCAGTTTGCGCACGACGGGTGTTTGCAGTCGCACTGAACTTGAAATTAGCATGATAGGAGACCAGGCATTTGGCAATTGATCTAGTTTGTGGTGATTCCGTGGCATCCTAAGTGGGCGAGGTATTGGAGTTTCTTGGGACATGTGTTACTACAACCCAAGAATATGTTCTGTGGGCCATGGTATGACTTGATCTTGACGCACATCGATATAGCTCTCAGGTAGACGTTCTCGGCTCCCCGGTGGCGCAGGGCAAGTAACGTGATCGAGATGCACCAAAACAGGCATAACCAACCCCGTATGCATCGAGGACCAATGAGAAACCTGTGTGAAGAACTCACCTTGATACGTCTTCGCTTACACTCCTTGCATCCCAGCCTCGTCTTGTTGTGTGATCGTCTCGTCGCCATGCCTTCCGACAGTGGAACCGGGTACCGATACGGTGTATACGGTGGCGTAAAGAAGTGGAAGAAGAAGCGCCTTCTCGGTAAGTCGCTGTAATCTGAATTGGGTCCACGACACGTTGAGGTCGTAGAAACAGCAGCACAATTGCTGTAACGATACGCAGAACGCTGTTGAAGCGTGCAGGTGACATCGAATGCAAGACCGATTGTTTCGTAAGGTGCGGCTGTGACGCTTCCCCACAGGGACCTGACGCTAGCCACGAAGGGCAGTTTTCGTACTGCGGGGCCTGTGATTGGCCGATGGAACATTCGGAAACAACTACTTTCCGGAAGGTCCTGCGTGTGACGCAATTCCTAATGTCTTGTTGACCTTCGTCTGGTGTCTGCCCAAATGGATTTGAAACCCGCTCATCATGTATAATCGTATACTGATTCTATTCATTGCTTTTGTTGTAGCGCTTCAGACACCGTGCAAATGCATATGCTGCGCGTCATCTACCTAAGCTGGGACTAGATGTAGTACATAAACTCATAGCCGCGTATACTGTCGTTCAACTCGAAAGCGTTCCGTAGGAACCAAAAGAAATTCTTAGTTCTTGAAAACGGTGGCAGAGCTCCAACGACCTGCGGCCTTCGCCCTGTAGTCGTCCTTGACCTTCTGTTCACTCTTCCACTGAGTGAGTAGTGCGAGTCCGGCTTGAGCTTCTTCTATCGTAATGCTCGACAGTTCCAAAGTCTTCTGTAGGTCTTGCTCGTTCTGGGATTTCGAGCTGTTGTCGAGGATATACCGGACATTGTATCCGGACTGCAGATGGGATGCGCTCTGCGAGTGCTTCTTCAGGAAGTCATCGTTGTAGGCTTTGAGGTCGGCATCGGCAGGTGGTGTGGTGAAGGACTCCTTGATGACCTCCGAGGCCTGAGATGAGAGGGGCTCAGCGGGTTTGGAGACTGCTAGATTAGCGATGAGCGTGACGAGGCATTCTGGGTGTAACTTACTAGCTTGACGGAAGCGAACGCTCTGCTCGTGCAGCTTGGGGTTCTCTGGGTCGATCTCCCGTGCAGACTGCAGACACTTCAGGGCGAGCAAATACTTGTCTGAATGACTGTTAGCATACATATCGCATGGGATGTGCAGTTGAGTGACTTACTTCGTCGGAGATAGACCTCGAAACCCGCGTTCTGAGCTCCAATGTTCTTGGGGGCTAGCTCGAGCATAGGCTGCAAGAATCGTAGTGCGTCCTCAAGAGGCTGCTTTGTCTGGAGCAACTTCTCGCCATTTGGATCTTGGTCTTCCTTCTTTGTCTCGCCATCATCGGCCTTGGCAGTCGCCTTTGCGGCAGCAGCAGCTTTGCGCTCGGCCTCGGCCTTCTCGGCCATCTCCCTCTCCTTCTTCGCCTTCTTTTGCGCTTTCTTGCGCTCGGTAGGATCCAGGTTTTCCAGATCAAGCTCGTCCGAGCTCGATAGCTTAGGGTTGTCCGCTAGCCGTACGTATAGCTCGACTGCCTGAGTGGCTGCCCTAGTGAAGAAAGGATGGTCGCGGAGGTGGTCTTCCCATCTGACCATGTCGATGTAAGCGCGGATCTGGCCCTTCCGTAATGAGAAGCTGTGGAAGTCGAACTGGTCCTCATGCCACACATCGAAGATGTCTGCAATGGCGGTGAAGCGCTTGAGAGCCAGACCGAGTTTCTCTTGTCGCAAGTATGCCTCGCCGTCTTCAAGCAGGTACCACATACACTGCATGTCGTGGAGATCACCGAGAGGTCCGCCCACAGTCTCGTTGCGAGTGAATTTACTCATAGTGTTAAGCGCGGTTTCGTTCTCGTTGTTTCGTAACTGGTATTTGGCGCACTTGGTGTTGATGTATCGATCGCCCTTTTCCAGCTCTTGTGCTTGGTCGAGGATTTCCGCGGCCTTTTGTACGTCGCCCATGTGCTTGTAGATCCGAGCTTTTGTCTGGTTGTAATCGACCGATTTCGGGTCCTTCTCGAGTAGCTTGTCTATGTACTCCATGGCCTTCTCCAGGTCGCGACTTTGGACGTAATTGTAATGCTGGGCCAGGAAATATAGTACAGCCTCGTCGAACCGGTCGGAATTGTCGCCGTTGCTCTCGTCGCTCGTCGGTTTGCTGGAAGCATAGCCAAGGACCAGCTCTTCGATGACTGCCTTCTTTTCCTCGTCGCGGTAAAGCGACTTGATGTTGGGGAAGGTCGAGGGCACGCCCTTGTTCAGCTTGCCCCGGAGATAGGCATCCGCCTGTGTCTTGAAAGCCTCGCCCTGAAGGAAGTCCAACGGTATCCGCCTCGCAGCATCGTTGCGCTGATTCTTGCTGGCGAAAGACTGGTACAGCTCGTTCAGCTTCTCGATGTCGGCGTTGTTGGACCGGTCTAGACCGAGGGCCTTCTCCAAGCCGTCGAAGTATGCGCGGTACTCGCTGTTCCTGCTCAAAAGAATCCTGTATGCCTTCTCAGCCTCCTCTTTCCGTCCCAACTCGAGGAGGTATTTCGCCTTGAGTTCCAACGCAGCGGTGCGATCCAGGCTGACGCGCACCACGTCTTCCAAGTGGTTCAGCGCACGTTCCACGTCGCCCGACTCGTATATTATCATGTTCTTGTAGAGAGTCGCTTCGGAGTGCTCGAGGTCCGACTTGGCGGGGGGTTGTTTGAGCGTCTCTTCGTACGTCTTGAGGATGTTTTCGGCCTCAGCGTAGTTGCCTGACAGATGGTAAGCGACTGCCAATGCCGTCCAGTTCTGGCGCAGTTGTGGGCGCTCCTGCATCATCTTTCGCCGGCTCTCAATGTATCCGTCGTAGTCGCGGACTTGGCATTGGAGAAGAGCGAGGTCGCGGAGGATGTTCAGCGAGGCCGGTTCTATGCGCAGGGCCATCTTGTACGACTTGATTGCCTCGGGGTAGTTCTTGACCGATCGCCATAACAGGCCGTAGACGTGCCAGCAGACGTGCGACTTCATGTCATTGCGGAGGGCTTCTTTGCAGAGAGCGAAAGCTTCGTCGCCCTGGCCCTGGGAGTTGAGGATCAGGGCCTTCATGGCCTGGGTGTCGCCATGGGTGGGGTATTTCTTCAAGATCTGCTCGGCAGCTTTGAGGCCTGGCGGGGTCAGCGGTCGTGCCCGTCGTCGTCCACGTGCAATTGGCGCCTACCCTTCTTGTACAGCTTGCCCTCGTAGAACTTGATGAGCGAGCGGAAGAGCGTCGCCTCCTTGCTGGGCAGTTGTTGCGGCATCGCGGCGGTCGTGTGTCTGGCAGGCGCGGAGCGTCAACGAGGTTCCGGTACCAACAAGTTGCGATCGGAATTGACAAGTCGACGCACGTGCGACGGGACCGAAGAGGATTAGGGTGGATGGGGGATGATTTAGTCGATGCAGTAGAACATCGCGACAATGGGTGTGGAATAAGCAGCCGCGGGAATGGTGGCTGGTAGTCTCAATGTGGCACTACTACGTGTGTGTGGGGAGCTTGAATTTCAGATGTTCCAGTGCTATGACCACAGCGCCCGCACCTCGACCTTGTCACGCACGTGCCTACACCCCGTCTCATGCTAAACATCTTCGCTCAGACCTCAGGATGCATATTGGAAATGGTAGGTATCATTACTTGTGGATTAATCTTACAATTGTACTATGTCTTATACACAGGTCGTGAAACCGCTATGGCAACTACGCATGTACTTTCCAGTCGTGCTTTACTTGGACAGACGTCCGGATCGCCTTTTTGCAGTCGCATCATCGCCTTTGACCTCTTCTTTCGCAGTGGCAGCCTTCTTCTGCTTTGCGGTACCGTTTGCAGTAGTCTTGCGTTTCTTGACCGGCTGAGTCTCTTCAGCTTCGACAGCTTCTTCTTCCTCGGCTTCCTCCGCGTCTACTTTCGCCTTCTTGCTGCCACGCTTTGCTCTTACTGGGAGCTTCTCCTCCGTAGCATCAACGTCCTCCTCTTTGACCTCTGCCTTGACCTCCTTCGCATTCTTACGTCCCCGCTTTGGTTTGACTGGTGCCTCCTCTTCAACCTCATCGACATCTTCCTCTTCTTTGACAGCCGGAGCCTTTCTCTTGCTACCCTTCTTAGGTTTCACGTCCTCTACAGCTTCTTCCTCCTCTTCCTTCTTAACAGCCTTGGCCTTCTTTTTGCCGCCCTTTTCAGGTTTCGCCTCTCCCTCGACATCGTCCTCGTCTGCGCCCTCCGACACGTCACCAGCAACAGCTGCCGTCTTCTTCTGGACACTCGGAACAATGGCCGAAGTTCGTCCACCAACCTTGAGGAATGTAATTTTCTCGCCGGTGGGGAGTTTCTGGGCTTCCTTTTTGCCCTTGCCCCAACGGTGTTTCATCAACCAGTCTTTGGGGAAAGCGTCCGAATCTCCGTTGGCTTCCACGGCCGTGTCGCAGACATACATGATAGCATCGTGCAGTCGCTTGATCTGCTCGTCGCTAAAGGTGTTGCTGTACTGCTCGGGATGTAGACGAGCCTGGTACATGACCTCGTCACCGACCCAGTTCCCTATGCCAGACACGTTTGCTTGGTCAAGGAGCAATGCTTTTACGGGTACCTTCTTGCTCCGCAGCTTCTTGCTGAGCCAATCCACGGTCAGGATGTCCTTGTCGATTACAGGATCTGGCCCATTCTCTTTCAGTGGTGTAGTCTTCCTCATGTCTTCGGCAGCAGCGTCCACCAATCTCACACGAGCAAGCCGTCTTGCATCTACCAAGGCGACCTCGTTCTTGGAGTCTTTCAACTGCAGGATAAACTTCCAGTACTTGGGTGGCCATTCTGCCTCTTCAGGTTTCGCCGGACGATAATGTGCTGAATCATCATTGCTGAATTTCTGAACCAGTTACACAAAGTCAGCATATATCTCATATGCAGTCTGTACGGAAATCACGAACCATCCAGCCTGCCATTCCAAAGTGCATCAAAGGATGTGGCGGCGAGTCCATGACCAACCAGAAGTATTTGCCCTGCTGTCGTGCATCTACTATCTTTTTTCCGATCAAGGCCTCTTGGAAGGCGGATGCTGACGTTCCGACCTTTCCAAAGACGATCTGGCTATCGTGAGTCGACGTTCTATCAGAAGGAAGGGAAGAACGAACGTTATCTTCCTGAGCCATGACATTTTTGATCGTCTTGCCAACGGCATGTTTCTTCAAGAAACCGACAATGCGCGCAACTTCCGCGATCTACGTGACATCAGCAACTTTCATGCGCGTGCGAAATGGACGCGTCCTGACCTCAGGCATGGCGCTGGACTTTGTGCAAAACTTTTGATTGTTTCGCAAATGTAGTAATTAGGATAGGGAAGAGGTCGAAGATGAAGCGCAATACGTCAATCGAGGAAGCTATAGTCGTGGTTGAGCTCGAGCACCCTGAAGTCGCGCGTCGCGGATCCAGGCTTAGCGCACGACGCGTTCTCACGGGATAAGCCCACTACGTCACCACTCGTGTCCTATCTCATCTCATCTCTCATGTTCCTCATGCCATCCATCGATATTGTTCCTTCAGCACATACCGAATTCAATGCCGACTTACTCTCGTTCTCCGCGCGCACGCCAGGCTGGACCTGCCTTTCCGGGACGCCCCGCAATGCCGGAGGGCGGGATCGGAATGACATCGACACACGATAAGACGCGATTTACATAATTCTCCGCCCTACACGCCGCCCACATGTACTTCAGCTCGAGGCTTTGTCTTTGCAACTCTTGCAATCTGACAATACAGGAATCATGCGGTGGGATTGGGTAGCCGTCGTCGCAAGTGCGGCTTGTGTCTCTTCTCATGCAACGCATCATGTCGAAGACCAACAGGCTTTCTCTCAAGACCGACTGGATGAATTGGAGAGGAAGTGGGGTACAGACGTGAGTATCGTTCAAGCAGCATCTGAGTATCAGCTAACAGTTGAATAGTGGGGGTTCTCTGGCATCTCAACCTTCGCTCACCTACCGCATACACGCTGCTTGACACACCCAGAGACGACCTACGATATCGCCATCCTCGGTGCACCCTTCGATACAGCAGTCTCCTACCGACCCGGTGCTCGATTCGGGCCCCGTGCAATCCGCGCCGGCTCAAGCCGTCAGACGTCCTTCCGAGGCTTCAACCCCCGTGCCAACCTCAACCCGTACACGTCATGGGCGAAGATCGTAGACTGCGGCGACATACCAATCACGCCCTTCGATAATACGTTGGCGCTGAAACAAATGAGCGAGGCTTTTCTCGAGCTGGGAAAAAGACCTGCGACGGAGAAGAGCACGGAGAGCGGGGTGCAGTATCTGAAGAAGCCAAAGCTGCTGACTCTTGGCGGAGATCACAGCATTGCACTTCCGGCTCTGAGGGCGTTGAAGGATGTATACGGGCAGCCAATTGCCGTGGTACACTTTGACGCCCACTTGGATACCTGGCATCCTGCAAAGTACCCGTCCGCTTGGATCGATCAAGAAGATCCTTCTACGCAGTCGTTCTTCAATCATGGCAGCATGTTTTGGATCGCAGCCACGGAGGGTCTGATCGCAAACGACTCGAGTGTACACGCAGGACTGAGGACCAGGCTGTCGGGTGATGAACCAAAGGACTACGCCGACGACTCGCAGCAAGGCTGGATTCGCATCGCAACAGACGACATCGACGAAATCGGAGTAAAGGGCGTCATTACTTCCATCATGAACCGCGTGGGAACGGAGATGCCTGTCTACCTCAGCATCGACATCGATGTGATTGACCCTGGACTCGCACCGGGCACGGGCACACCCGAACCAGGCGGCTGGACCACGCGTGAACTCATCCGCATATTGCGAGGTATCGAAGGCATGAATGTTATCGGCGCGGATATTGTGGAAGTCAGTCCTGCATATGATGGCGCAGCAGAGACGACCGGGATGGCAGCAGCGCAAGTCGCGTACGAGGTACTTACGAGCATGGTACGAAAGGGTCTTATTGAGCAAGCACGAACGAAGGTGACGACGCAGGAGGACAAGGATGAGTTGTGAACCCCCGACATGTCTAGATAGTCACAGAGCTATGAAGCGATTGAGCATTGGCTATTAGAACTGCTTCACTGGGCATTTACTCGATTCCATGAATTATTTCAAGCACCTCTCCGACACGGACTGCAATCGAACCCTTTTATAATGTTCATTGCGACCATGTTCAGGATCTTATATGTCTACGAGCACCTCATACACGGCAAAAACTGAACGGACACACTACAGTCTACATCGGCACGAGAACAAACATCAACAGAGTTTTAAGGAAGTGTAAAGTTCCATGTCCGCGGCTCAAGATAGGTGTTTAATTGCTCCCCTTGAACAGGGTGACAGTAAACCCCCAACACAACATACACTAACGTTCCACCACGTTGCTACTCCATTCACAAGCCTTCCTTCTCTCACCCTCCCTCTCAACTCAAATCTCTCCCCCAAAATCCCGCCTCGGCATGTGATGGGAACCGCCACCACCACTCTCCCGCCCCTCCGCGTGCCATAGCTCACACACTATCCTAACCGCCGTGGCTTCCACATGGCCGCCCACCGCCCTCCCATCACCACCACTACCACCACCAGTACTTAGCACCCACCCATCTTCACTCGACCGGCTACCCGGACGATCCAGAAACAAAGTTCCCTAGCCCGCACCCTCGCACGTGGCTATGTGTATTTAAAGTTCGATAGTCCAAGTCGCCGCCCGTCGGCGTTTTTCTCGGCGCTACATCTGTACCCTTTTCTGAACTTTGATTCATGGGAATGTGCGGCTAATGTAATCAGTAGACTAATTTGGCAGAGACGGTGCGGTTGAGGCTCAATGCTTAGGCTTTAGTGTTGGGGTTCTGGGTCTGGGTGTGCAAGCCTTGCAAAGCGCACAGGCGGGTGTGGAAGAGTCGCGGAGCATACTGAACATGCGGAGTAGTCACCGAAGACCATTTTGGTACGGGGTTCTAGATGGAACTTCAACGTGGGAAGCGAATGCGACGACGGGAGATTGGCATGCTATTGCGGGTGTTGAGCACGTGGACTAGTTCTAGTTCTACGGTGAACTTTGGCGTCTACGGTTGAGATTGCGATGATGGCGGTTTTTGTCTTGGTGGTTTTGTAGTGGGGGTTAGAGTTTGGGGTCTGTGGGGGCGCTATGGATGGTAGGAGGGATGGAGAGTTTGGGGGGTGGGTGGTGAGGTGTAGGTGCTGGAGTGTGCGAAATGCTGTTAGAGTTGTGATTACGTGCATGTATAGGGTGTGTGCGCGTCGATGATCGTGATGATAAAAGAGTCGTAGGTGGAAAGCACATGTGCTGGCGCAGAATGCGGTCGAGGACACAGACGGCTCTGCGCTACCTGGCTATCTGGGGCTCGTCGGAGTGCCGTGTTTTGCGGCTCGACCGACGATGCTGAGCCTGCATATTCGTGTTAGCATTGCCTTCCTTCGAGGACGCCAGGTGGAGCAATAACTATCCGACACGAGTGCCCATGGTCCAAATCAGGAATCAGTGAGGCAGCAGTCAGCGTGATAACACTTCGGGGCGATCATACCGATCGCGAAGTATCGTTGTGGCTTGGTGAAGCATTGCACATCACGAGAGAAGAGTCAGTCAATGTCTTGGACTCAATGCTGCCTAGACGCCTACACTCGTGATTGAAGAGATCAACGCGACCCGTTGGGTCAGGCTTCCTCGTGTCAGTGGGTAGACATGTAAGCATGCGGTCTGAGTGGCTGATGACTGAACTGGGGTCCAGTGCATATCTTGACGAGTCAAGCGCGTGGAAGCCTTGCTGCGGAGCTCAGTCAGCACAGTACCTTGTCGCTATCGACTTCGCAGGTCTTGCGGTGCCAAGCTGATGGATACGTGCCTTCATAGCCATGGTCAAGCGAAGTCAAATGTTCACTATACACCTGCCGAAGGTCTTTGCTAGGCGCCCATCAGGGATGCCTTGACAGTCAACTCCACATACCCACAAAAGCTTTGTCGACTCCACAACTCCACTCGCATCGTTATTCGCATTACTCCCCCGATGGAGTAAAGTTGATCAACGCATCTTGCGAGCGCCCGTACTTTACGGCAACTGCAGGACTGAGCTTGAGAGACTCCACAGTACAGATGGTTGATCCGTCTCCACGTTCACCGGCTCGGAAGCTTTCGGCCAGTGGTCTTGGCTACCATGTTTGACATCGGAAAGTTTTTGACATTTTGCGGATCTTGTCGCCGAATGAGAGAGGTGGTCTGGTTAATCGAGCCCACTGCTTGAGTGGAAAGCTTTTTCGTCTTTGTTTGGTACCGATACCGTAGAAGTTTCGCTGTTGGACCCTTTGACATGCTTGACATGTGCAAAAGCAACTCTCAAGACAAAAAGCTTGGTACAGTGAGTAAGCCAGACAGTCAAGTCGAAGAAGCACATTCAGCTGTTCCAGAACTAGAAAACGAAGGCGAAAATACGATGCGAGGCCACCCGTTGAACGCTCAGCTCGCCTGCGAGAGCCCACCCAATCAGAACGCGACGCTGCAAATACCAAGGCGGTAGTTGGCTACCGTCCTCGTGTTAAGGTTGTTGTCGTTCCGATCCGCACCGCTAGCAATGTAAGGCTTGCTAAAAATAACGCCATTGAGCTTGAAGTCTCAAAACCCATTGCTCCACCATGATACGATGTGTGATCGCGAGCTTTCAGCAGGAAAGTGGGCATTTCGTATATGGTGGAAACCTTGGGACTGACTGCGGGGCGCATCAGTACTGACAACTCGCTTGTCATCGGAGGTAAGCCGCTGCGCCTACCTGCGGAAGCTGCATCGGACGATAGCAGGGAAAGTGAACATGCTGTTGAGCCATGCCGGATCCTTGCACGTGCAGGGTCTTTGTTTCTTGGTAGCGAACAAAGGAAAGAAAAATAACCCGTCTGTTATGCTGCAGCTCCAAGGAAAAGGTTAAGCTTTTTGGCCCTTCTCGGGGATAAACACGAAAGGTACTGTGACATTGCTGTTCGGGGTTGACTCATGACACGAGGTCCAAAAGCTGAAACTCTTCTTGGCCCTCAGGACGCCGCATCTTGCTGAGACATACACTCCCTGGGCTTACGCTTCTCGCTCCGGATGCCAGAATTATGTCATCGGTGAGGCTTACGCCACATCATCCGCCTTGGTCGGTCGCGGAGAAGTGACTGTGCGACCTGCGATGAGGGCGGGAAGCAGGAACACGGCAATGTGCTGATTCCATTGATGAGCAGTCAGACGGCACGCACTTGCCGTGCCTCTGCCATCGCCATCTATCTGCCACAAACCGCCCTTGATGCCCTTTCTGTGCCGTTCATCTCTTGTTTGGGTCCAGGCTTCAAAATTTCTCTTCTCGCTATCTGCTATGACACGCACACTAGTTCCAGGCGTTCGGACGTCGGAGAGGAGATCCATACCCTGGAGCGATCGAATTAGCCCGCGTCTACCCCACCGAGCCGTCAACGAGATAGACCCACATGATTCGATGTTTTGCCACGATACGGCGTGGAATGGGTGGAAAGGTGTCCACGCTATGCAGCTGGAGGCTTGCACGACCCTTGTGTTCCCACTTTCGGGGCTATTGATGTGGCTCAATGCCGGGACTTTGGTTCGTGTCACGTCGAGAGAAGAGGCGTGCTTGCAGATGTATGGTATTGTGCTGGCCGCAGGTGAGAAAGCCACATGAACAGGGGTTTGCCTGCGCACGAGTCAGCGCCTTAGCGCTGGCTCTAGGGCGTAAAGGCGGTTGCCGTGGCGTAGGGAGTTTACTTGCACTTCTACCTTGCGCACCGGACTGCATTATTACTTGCATGGCAGGAAGCAATGCCGAGTGTACCGAGGTGCATACTGTGCTGTGACGTGTTAACAGGTCAAGAGATGCGGGTGAGATGACGATGCAAGGCGCCCGTAACTAAGCGGAGCGTCAGTGCTGTGACGATGTTCACACGAACATGGCAATCACAAGAAGGTTTGAAGTATTGATCGTGAAGAGTAGTCATGAATTCGTCTATCTTGTGCCGTGCACAGTAATTAAATGTAATGCGCGCTCGAAATACAGCAGGGTAGAAATCAAATAGTCAGCGGCCCGAATCTAGCACCAGTCCACTAGTGCCACCAGAAATGCCCACCGTGCTTCTTACAAGCGCTTACTGACGAGGTAGGAGTTACAGTCGTCGTTGTAGTCCAAACATGGCCGAAAGTAATGACCTCGGTCGTGGTAGTGAAGGCGAGCTTGAACTTGGTCTTAGTGGGAGTCGGCAGCGTGGTGGTAGAGGTGAGCAGGCCGGAAAGAACAGTAGGAGGAGGAAGCGTCGTTGTGGCGGACTCTGTGAGAAGAACACTCTCAGTAGTGGTGATAGCTGGTGCAGTCACAGTAGCGAGTACTGCAACCGGAGTCTCGTAAGTGACAGTCGTTGTCGGGGCATCAGGAGCGCGGCGTTCAATCTTTCCAGCCTTCTCCGCACGCTTCTGCTTTGCGGCTTCGACGCGGGCACGCGCCCATTCGTAGTCGACTTCACGGTCGCCTTTGCGAACGAAGCGGTGGAGTCTAGGGATGGTGGTAGGTGTCTCCATTGCCGCCGCGTGAACCTTGGTGGGCGAGTACTCGCAAGGCTTGTCGGGCTTGCCCACGTGGGCCGGAGTAGTGCACGTGGCTTCGACAGTCTTAGTGGTGACGCCAAAGTGCTTGGTCCAGGAGTGCCTGGTGCGAGTCATGGTCTTTGTAGATGTGGTAGTGACTGCCTTTGGCGTGACTGTCTTGACCTTCTTAGCGGTGCCGCTAGGCATAGTGACAGTCGAGAACGGCCCAGCAGTGACGACATCAGTCGAGGTGGTAGTGACAGTTGAAGTGATGGTAGGTGTCTCGGTCTTGGTGTCTGTCGTTGTTGCAGTGTATGTGCTGGTGACTTTCGTGCCGACAGTCAAGTAGAGATCTATGTACGTTAGTGAATGGGTTGCTTGTTTGGTGAAGACAAGAAAACATACCTCTTTGCCATGCGAAGGGCTGGCCGTTCGAACCGTCCTCGTTGGCTTCATTGTCTCCCAGTACCAGAAGTAGCCAGTGTCCTGAGCTCATTTGGTTCTTCTTGATGGGGCAGTCTGCCAACTGGTTGACATCATCAGGTGTCGTGGGAATCCTGTCACACAGGTATTCCTCGCCATTTGCCTCCTCAGGCGCAACGAGCAAAACATCTGCCATACCATCTGCGTTGCAACCTTTGAAGTATGTTACAGCAGAGAAATCCTCAGTAGACTCCGAGTCGATGAAGTAGCTTCCTTCATCGACAAAGTCAACACCATAGGCGTAACAGATACCACCGGAGCTACCCCAGGGGTCATCGGCATTGGCGAGGGTGATGGAAGTGGCAGCCACCGCAAGGAGGATGGAACGAGAGTACATGTTGATAGCAAGTCAAGTCAACGACTGAAAGTACAGGTTTGATACGTTGGATGCGATATGCAGAGTCAGTGGGCCATGACCTCTTTTGTACCTTGTATGATGATCAAGCCCAGCAGGTTCTTCACAAATACGGCTTATCTTTTGCGCACTGAACTGTGCCCCGACCCCCGAGTAAGCCGACATGGATCGAAGATGCAATGAAAATAGTCATAGCAAGTGCTTGATCTAACAGTGTCAACACGGAAGCGAGCTTGTGACAGACTGGAACAGGTGGGCGGGGCGGGCGGTCAGCAACTCGTAAAGAGAGTCAAGCGCAGTTCTGCGCCTCATCTGTACTTAGCCCTCGTAAGGCGTCGCATCGCTGTGCAGAAGGAAGAAAAGTGGTGCTTAGTGTAGGAGGCGAAGGCACCCATGTGTGCGGCCGCTACCTAGGTATGGAAAGCCACTGGAATTAGTGCCGGTCCGTGCTAGGCTTAGCGCCCATACCCCTGAACCGATCTTAGTGTTCACGTCACTTCACTCGGCCCCAACGTCCGCATATTCTTGCACCGTCTTGCAGCAAACCTGCCCGGTCAGTTGGTCGAACTTACTAATGATAGGCTGGCCAGTCGCTGATCAACCCGCGCTCCTGTTTCCAGCGAGTTTCCAGCAGCCGCGCATGCCGATCCGAGCGTTGAAATTCGCACTTCCTTCTCCCCGTTCGTGTCTATTCGTGGGCGGATGCCATTGTCCGAGATAGTCGCATCCAATGCGATAGTCACAAGCTTTTCTAGCGGTCGTCTATCGGCCGTTCATATGGATTTGTGATCTGGTTCTTGGAAGCCACCAAGTAAGTTCACGGGTCGGAAGGCCATCCCTGGATACCGCATGCCGAGCTACACAGCATGCATGGGAGGCACATCATACTAACTTGCAGCCGGCGAATAATGGCATTGCCATACCGACCATGCCGTCTTCCTAGACGCCATGTAGCTTATGAAGATCTTGATAAGACCGTTTATGTTGGACGAGCTACGCCACAGCCCAAGGGGGTCTCAGGTTCATATTGGACGTTCAACGTCAGCAAGTGACCGGAAAGGATACCGCTGTCTGGAATACTTCTGTCAGTCTGACTATGACCTCGGCTGAGGGTAGCATCTCGAAGAACCAGTGGATTTGTTATACGGCTGGTCCCTGCTCAATCATCGTATATGCCGTACGTGGTTATTCTGGTAACAGAGCTCAACACTTGATTGGGACCGTCTAGGTAAGCTTCCTCGGTACCGGATGGGACGGTCGTATTCCCGTCTTCCGATCGCGTGGGTCAGGCTACATGCCACGCACGAGTAGCATGCGTTCTCGATGCTTTTGTCACGTCGCAAACAGATTCTGCATCAGGCCTAAGGCACTTCTTACACAACGTCAGTACCCACATCTGACCACTCAATGTGGGCTCTCGTCTCCGGTGAGCACAGAGTATGTTCGAATGGCGGCCGTGTTTTGTGGAGTACCCGATCTGTAATTCAATAGATCTTGCATCCGACAAGGGTCCAGCACCCTACGCGAGCTTCTAGGATCTTTCACCTAAGAAAACGCTCCAACACGAGTAGGTCGCCCATCACGCACTGTTTCGAGTAAGTTTGGGACTACCGCTGACTTAGCGCTGGTGTGGTTCCTCCATACCGGAATCCCAATTAGGAGCTACATCCGTGCACCGTCCGAGATCTTGGCTTCATCGACTTTGCCTCGCGCCTACCCACTCGCCGACATGGTCGTAATCGCTCCACTGCCACGGCTGGGATTCAGCCCATCGGTCGCTGAATCCACCGAGGCCAGACATTTGCCTAATCGGCCCTCATCATCAACTATCCACGGTCGGGATGGCTCAAGTCTTCCCCGTGTGATAGTATCAAGTGAGCAATGCTAGGGCGCCCCGGCGTCGATCTCACCACCTGGACCACGCGGGTCCAACTGACATGCAGCGTTAAGCGAGAAAAAGTCGGTGTCACGGCAAAGTAGGCGCTGTCTGACCTCGCCCTGAGCGATACCCATGGCGAGGCTCAGATTACCGCCACCGTTCGCTGACTTACACTTTGGGGGCGTCTTTCGGATGTGTCTCATATAAATGGCACTTGTGTTCTGGTCAGCCCCTGCCCTACATTGATTAACTCCAGGAACCATTCAACATCCATTGGCCTGGTCAGCATCCCTTCATATATACCGACCCGGTACCATTCTTTCTTTGCATTCATATATTACATTCACACCATTATGTTGCTTCATTCATTAGCCGCATGGCTTTCTTTCGGATCAGTTGCTCTCGCTGGTCCGCTACGGGCAGAACCACTGTCCGATGACTTCCCATCATTTGACCAGATTGTCAAGAGGCAAGATGGTGCCTGCACCAACACAGCACGAACACGAAGCTGCTGGAGCAATGGTTACAGCATTGCTACTGATTTCGATGCCAAGTCTCCTCCGGATGGCACCACCGTGACTGTAGGTACATGCATGAATGTCTGCTCAAATAGTTGCTAACATGTGGCAGTACAATTTTGAGATCTCCAATGTTACCAGGGCCAACCCCGATGGAAGTGGTACTTCCAAGGAAATGATGCTCATCAATGGCCAATATCCTGGACCACTTGTGCGGGCAAAGTGGGGTGACACAGTCATTATCAACGTCAAGAACAACCTCGCCCACAACGGAACCGGTATCCACTGGCACGGTATCAGACAGCTGAACACCTGCCAGGATGACGGCGTCCCAGGAATCACCGAGTGCCCAATCGCCCCTGGGAGAACCCGCCAGTACAAGTTCAGGGCTACTCAGTTTGGCACAACATGGTATCACTCTCACTTCTCAGCCCAATATGGTGATGGTGTTGTCGGTACCATGATCATCGATGGACCAGCTACTGCCAACTACGACGTCGACCTCGGTACTCTCCCCATCACTGACTGGTACTACGTACCCGCTTTCACACTGAACGAGGTCGCCCAGCACTCTCAGCGCGGACCCCCCGCGCCCGACAACATCCTCGTCAATGGCACCCACATCAACGCCGCAAACGACAATGGCCAGTACGCCCGTATCAACGTAGTCAAAGGAAAGAAGTACCGCATCCGCCTCATCAACACCGCCGTAGACAGCACCTTCAGCGTCTCCATGGACGGCCACCCCTTTACAGTCCTCACCTCCGACTTCGTGCCCATCAAGTCCTACGTCACCGACCAATTGACCCTGCAGATCGGTCAACGGTACGATGTAGTTATCACCGCCAACCAGACCGTCGACAACTACTGGTTCCGCGTTGCCACCGGCAGCTGTGGCAGCAACAAGATCACCGGAGCCGGCAAACCCGTCGGCGCCATTCTCCACTATGACGGCGCATCCAGCACCGCAAACCCCACCTTCAAGTCCTCCGTCACAATGCGCACAGGCTGCGAAGACGAGTCCTCTTCCAACCTCGTCCCCTTCGTCCCGAACACCGTCCCACAATCCGTGATGGGCGAGGTCCAAAACCACAAAATGAACGTAGACTCCTTCGCCGACCCCGCAAAGAACAACCTCTTCCGATGGCTAATCGACGGCACACCCCACATCGTAGACTGGAACAATCCCTCTCTTGAAACCGTACTCGCAGGTTCGCGATCAATCGGTCCAAACGGAAACGTATACACCATGGACAAGGAAGGCTGGTACATGTGGTACATCCAATCGACCTCGCGCATCGCCCTGCCCCACCCCATCCACCTCCACGGCCACGACTACTACATCGTCGGCCGCGGCACAGGTACCTGGGACGGCTCCACCAACGGCCTTAACTTCAATAACCCGACTCGTCGTGACACCGCTGTGTTGCCTGCGGGCGGCTACATGCTCATTGCTTTCCCGGCTGATAACCCCGGCATGTGGATTATGCATTGGTAAGTCCTTGCTGTACGGAGTGCTTGTGAGATATATACTGACTTTGCACTTCTAGTCACATTGCATGGCATGCTAGCCAGGGACTCAGCCTTCAGTTTATGGAGCGTATGAGTGAGATTCAGGGTACACTGGGCGATACGAGTGTACTGAAGCAGGGGTGTGATGAGTGGGATTCTTATTGGGCTGAGGGGTCAGCGCCGGATGACGACAGGCCATACAATCAGACTGATTCTGGTATTTAGATGGGTTTATGTTGTGGTTGGGGATTAATAGTTAGGTGTATGGCGTTTTTGGGGTGGCGTTAGAGGGTTGAGTTGGAACTTCTTAATGTAGCGATATTCTTTTGTAAATATTGTATCGAACACTATATTCTCCATCTACATGTTCGCACCCATGTCTTCCTTTGCGCGATCAATGTGTTGTGGACTACATTCTGCCTGTACTGCACGTATGCCGCAATGCAGTACCTACCTGAACCCTGCCGGCGACGACGTGGACCATAAGTACAGGTACAGCAGGACCATCACATGGCTCCCGGCAATGTCGCGTCCCCTCGCACACAGCACTCACGCACCCTGCATTTCCGACCGAGCACCAAAGATAGCATCAGCTACCACATACAGCCAAGAAACCCGCATGCTGCAGGGTCCCAACAAGTCTCGGAAGCGCCATCATGCAGGGAACGCGTGATGGTTGCGAAGGAGGTGGTACATGTACACCAGAAAATGGCTGGGCGAGAATGGATATCCCGAAGTGATGCAAGCCAAGTGTTTGTACGAGGACTGAGGCTCTGCTTGCCCGAACGGAGAGTCTGTGAGCGGCGATGTGGGATAGGTGGTTGTGTCCTTGCTCAGGATGGAGATGGCCGTATGAGAAACATGATTGCTTTGGTGGTCCGAAGGGTTTAATCATGTCATGTGATGTCGGAGACGATGATTAGTGGGAAGTCGAAGACGTTGCGTTCATCGCGTCCATCATCCCAAATCAACTCTCCATCTCCCAAACCAGCGTCTCTCGGCCTTCAAACTGCATCACCGTCCAAGCATTCTTTCCCCCAAAAGCCTGCGCGCTCATCGCGAACCAGTCTGCCTCTTCGCCGTCCACCCCATCTCCTCTCTCCATATCCATATCCACATCCGTATCTTGCGTCCCATTCACCTTCTTCTCTCTTTTCTTGAACCCCTCCTTCCTCACCATCAGAAAAAGATCGCGCATAAACGCCGGTCCCATAAAGCCCCTCCACCTAACCAAAACCATATTTCTCTCGCCAGTACCCTTCCCTAGATCAGGCACTTCGTAGCGCGACAGATGCGGGTTTATATCATCGCCCGCCTCGACCCTTGGTGATTCCAACTGAAGCATGTGAATCCACTCAAGCAGCCCCATCGCCTCATCCTCATCATAAACATCCTTAAGCCCCGCAGTGCTCACCCTCGGTACCATCACCCCACCCAACCTCCTCTCTTCAGGCAAAATATCACACACTCTCGGCGCGTGCTTCTCAATCAATTCCCTGCCCTCACCCAGCGCTTCCTTACTAGTTGGACTCGCATTATAAAACAACCACGTCAAACTCCTATCCAGCACATTCCTCGCCGCCCACTCCAACCTCCCAAACCCTTTCTTCCCATGCTTCATACTGCTCTCACGTAAATTATACTCAACAACCCACCGCTGTTTCTGGTGTTTCCTGCCCCCGTCTTCCACGGGTACACCCTGCAGGCCGCAGCGCTCGTACGTCGGCCGCGTAAGCTCCATGCGCAAAACACCATTATACAATTCAAACCGGTCGTCTAACAGCGGTCTTCCTTCGCTCAGCATCATGATATTGCCTTGTTTGATATACGTGTTCAGGAAGTCGGCTTCGAGGATTTCGGAGAGCTTCATGTGGACGCGGGCGTAGTAGGTGCGGGCGGGGCTGTCGTCGCGGGTCATCTCGGCCTGTATAAGGTGGTACATTTCCTCGGGCAAGATGAGGGAGAGCGTGTGGCTGTATTTTTGCGCGGCGAAGGCGGAGAAGGGTTTCTTTTTTGTTGACACATTTTGCGGGTCGATGTAGCTGGGGAGGAGGCTGTGGGAGAAGAAGATTTTTGCGTCGGCGGCGGAGGAGGGGCGGTGGATGTCGAGCATCGTGAGGTAGTAGGAGGGGAGCGCGCGCGAGAGTGGGTGTGAAGGAGTGGTGGGTGGTGTTGGGGCTGCGCGAAAGATGCGGGCCGAACTTTTGTCGCGTGGGGTTTCGGCAAGACGCGTTGCGCGGGCCTATGACGCAGGGGTTGGCGCGTTGACATGTGAGCGGCCATTTATTGTCGCGCAGACATCATCATTGAATCTTCAGAGTATATTTGGGTTACTCTGCGTCTCTGATTTAATTAGACTACATCTGAGACTGGCGTGTACGGGGAAGTTTTGCGCAGGAGCATGAACAGGCACCTACGCGCGAGAGCGCATAGGATGCAGACATTCAAATACGTTTGCACTACGATAAGAACCAGCAAGGCATGTCAGGGAAAGTAAATAGTTGCCAATGTATTCGAAGCGGCAAGCGAGGCGTACATTAGTAGGATGCTGACACAAAGCATAAGGAACAGCCATTCCGAAGATGTATGCAATCTTGACACAGTAGTCTGTTACAAAAGAACCCAATGTACATGACCCATTCATGTATTGTGTAGGGCCCATAGGAGATCGGTAGATGGAGAGATCTACAGTGTGCGTGTTAGGGGACAAAAGGTGTACTGACCCCACCGTGTTCTCGGGGTCTGGAAGGCGGAAGAAAATCAGGGTGTATGGTGCTTGAAGCATCATAAAAGGAAACGGGACATGTGTGCGTAAGGAGAAATTTGTTTCCAGTAAAAGTGTTTGCTGTTGTTGCGGTAAAAGAAAGATATTGGCTGAAGTACAGTCTATGAGATTGCCCTATATTCATGAAGATCGCGTTGAACGTCTCGTGGACCGCTTCTTCGCGATCAAGCGAACAGCCGTCTTTTGTGTTGGCCGCGGCTTGCCGATATGGTGCTCCGGTCTGAACCTAGTGATAGCACAGATGGAGCACGGTTTGCCAAACTGCTCCTTGCGGGCATTGTGGAACTCTCGAGTACGGTAGAGTTGTAGGGCCAGCGCTTCCACGTCGACGCGCAAGACCCATACTGAGCCGGGGTTGCCTCTGATGTGGCGGGAGGCGAGAACAGTTGCGGCGGAGATGTGGTATTGCATCTGTACTTCGTCGACTGTCTATGCATATTTGTCAGTTCATGCTCTCAAAAGTGGAGAGGATTAATGGGATGAACGCACCAAGGTCTGACGGTAGAAGCATCCTTCACAAGCCGTAATGATACGTTTGACAAGTGGAAAAGGGTAGGTGTCCAATGCTGCAAAGCAATAGATACACCTCCGTGGAGCGTGCTGCAGCCATAGTCGACGATATACAATATGGCTCATATCTGGATGGACGGCACCGTACCTGTCCAGCTGAGCGAATGGCAGATTGAATATGTTGCATTGTCGAACAAGATGCGAGCAGTACCCCTCCACGAACTCATTACATCGTCTGGATGTGCGCGACAGAGCATTGAAAGGATGTGGAAGTACATGAAGAGAGAAGATATCGGCAGCCCAGCGATGACTGTCCGCACCTTGGGTCAAATCTTCTTCGTCCTTGATGCTCCGCTTCTGCTTCTCTGACACGTCGTATCTACTCTGAGTCTCAGTGAGACCTGGCAGCCGACAGCACGGGTGAATGAGGTAGGACAGTATCTGGTCCACGATCTCGACAGGCAGGGTTTCCAACTTGCTCAACTTGACGTGGGAAGATGAAGGTATGACGTTGCTGTATTGCAATGGATTGGGCAATGCGACTGCCCCGCGGTGACGAATTTTAGGCGAGGCTAGAATTGGATGTGGTGGTACAAGACTCTCGTGACTGTCAACGAGCAACCGTCCAGTAGTAGGAAGCGAAGAAGGGACCAGCCCCGAGGCGACTGTGGTAATTGAGGCCATGAAGAGGAGAAAAAAAGAGCGACAGAATGGAAACGAGCAGACTCCTCACCTTGCTTATAGAACAGGCCGTGAACCTTATACAGGACAAAGGTCAAAAAGTGACGAGTAGAAGCATGCAGGACAGCGGAGCTTCCCACCAACGAGGGGAGAAGTGTGCAGAAAGCTGCATTGCTGCTGCTGTGATTCGTCTATGGGTCGAGAATCCCGGGCAGCTGTGTAGCAGTGTGCAGCCCATGCACATATTTTCGATACTGCATACTGATATATGCTGAGATTGGCGAAGAAGAAGACGACAAGTCGTAGTGCATGTGCACCGAAGTAGTCCGGGTGGATAGCAGGCTAGCAAACCGATGCGGCCATCTCCGCCCGGCCCCTTATCGCCTAGCGTCATGTATCATCAACTTACCCGACGGACCACCTTTCGCTCTGTCTGAGACTCGTAACACTGGCCGACAGCGAGAAGCGCGGGAGACAACACCATGGCTGCCCATCCCGACGAGGGACCCGCCGTCGCCCAGCACCCCGCTCCGCCCCCCGCTGGCGCTATCAAGGCCGACCCAGGAGCGGGAGGCGCAACCAAGCCCCGAAACGAGGACGCGCCCGCGCCTGCGCCCGATCAGGATGAGGAAGATGGCGGCGCGTGGGACCAGGCTTCCCTGTACGAGGAGATTCTAGACGAAGTGGAAGCCTTTGAGTACTCGGACGATGGTGAGTCTGGCCAGCATGCGCCTTCCACTTCCACCACCATTGACACCCCATAGGCGTAGACACGTGCACCGCCGACGAGGCCCGCCGCTTGCGCCAGCGGCTCCATGAGATTGGCGCGAGCGCATTCGTCATGGAGAACATTACGAGCGAGAAGATGACGGCGCGCAAGCTGTGCACTGCCTTTGGCGTCAAGATTCCCAAGTTTCTCGAAGAAGCGCCCGACGAGAGCTTTTACCAGCTGCTGGGGCTGGCCATCAACCGCGAGCTGAACAAGCGGCCGCGGCTGGCCCAGTACAAGACCATCGACGACGCTGCGAAACTGCTGCGTGAACGTAAGAACATCATGGTCATCACGGGCGCCGGCATATCGACGAGTCTTGGCATACCCGATTTCCGCTCCAAGAACACGGGTTTCTACTCGCGGCTACGCGAGATGGGCTACGACGAGCCCGAGGAGGTCTTTGACATCCACAACTTCGACGAGAACCCCCGCACCTTCTACGCGCTCGCCGGCGACATCATACCCGATCTCGAAAAGTGGACGCCCACGCACGAGTTCATCCGCCTGCTGCAGGACAAGGAGAAGCTGCTCACCAACTACACACAGAACATTGACAATGTGGAGGCGCACGCGGGCATACGCAAGGAGAAGCTCATCCAGTGCCACGGCTCCTGGGCGACGGCAACATGTCGGAAGTGCAAGTTCAAGGTCCCCGGCGAAGACATCTTCGACTGTGTGCGCGCGCAAAAGCCCGCCGAGTGCAAGCGCTGCAAAGACGAAATCGCTGCCCAGCCCAGCAAGAAGCGCAAGCGGACCTCCAACGGCAACGGCGCCCGCAAGAAGCGCTCGAGCGACGAAGACTCGGAATCCGACGGCGCCTTCGACATCCCGCAGCCCGGCATCATGAAACCCGACATCACCTTCTTCGGTGAAGCCCTGCCCAACGATTTCTTTGACCGCCTCAAAGACGTGGACAAGGACAAAGTCGACCTTGTCATCGTCATGGGCACCTCCATGAAAGTCGCGCCCGTGTCCGAAATCCCGAACTTCCTCCCCCGCGACGTACCGCAGATCTACATCTCGCGCGATCCGATCCACCACATCAATTTCGATATCAACCTGCTTGGCGATTGCGACGTCGTGGTCGCGGAATTGGCAAGAAGAGCGGGGTGGACGCTGGAACACAAGATGATACCCGAGGGGCAGACGACGGAAGCGGAATTGACGGATGAGGTGGATCATATTTCTACGGTCAAGGTCCATGTTCCTGTTATGACTACCACGAATGGTCATATCAATGAGCAGGCTTGAGCTTAATGGCCTACGACAGACGACATGGCGTTTGAGCATACATAACAAATGGCGTTGTGAAGGGTGTTTATATGGATACCGGTTTCGACCGCATGGACGGCGACGCTGGAGGATGGGCTCAAGATTCATAACATGGAGTTTCTCATAGGCTTAGGGCGTTTGCGGTATGGATACGAGAGGAGGGGGATGAATCGGCGGCATCAGAGATACCATGCAAAGGCTATAACAGTGGGGGAAGCCCAAGCCGCAGTCTCCTTGTGTTCAACTATTTTCTCTCTCGTTCTTGCATATAGACTTCCTGAACAAAATTTCAGTTCGATTGCAATCAGGATGTAAACGTATTATCGTATTATCGCATGATCACCCCAGGCAGCACAGCCCGTTGATAAGTGACAGTCGATCTGGACAAAAGTAGTTCTGAAAGATGCGTGCTACCGAGGTCGTGCCTGCCGTGCGGCGCGGACAGTGTATTAGCCCTCCCGCCCCGCCTCCCCTTACTGAACGTCCCCAGGGCCTGCATCGCACCTGACGACCTCACGTCACCTCGAGATCCTAACATTCTTACAGCAACGTCGCAGCATCTGCGTTTGCGAAACCAACAAGGTCGTCACGTCATAGCGCTCGCGCTGCTCCCCTTCACGTCATCGGACCCGCTCCTGCCCATCCAAACCTACAACCGACCGCGAACAGCTCTATCACACGACCCGCGACGATGGAATCACACAATGTATACGCAGAACAATTATGTCGACGATGACATCGGCGAAGACTGCAAAGCCTTTACAGCGACGTTGTACTGCAGTATGCTGTAGACTACAGCGACAGTACCGACAAGCAGGCCTAGCAAATGTTAGTTATAAACCATGGTCATTTGATGACAAGGTTACGGATATACACACTCAGAAACCCGAGTAGGGCTGTCAGGAACAGGCCTAGGATAGCCACAGTCAGAGCATTTCGTTCCGACGTGTGCCTCTCGAACCATGCGACGATGCTGTTTGCTGGCGGCGGATGGTTCACTATCCTCAACAACGTCGCTAAGCGATCTCCCAGATACTTGTACTCGAAATCATCTGGCAATGTACGAATATGCCTCTCAAAATACGTCGCTTTGGGATCGAAACCGTATTTCTCGGTGAATTTCTCGAGCGACTTAAACGAGCGTCCATCGTTCGGGAACAGAAGGAACTGTATGGAGTCCAGGACCTCCAACAGCAGCTGTGGTGGCAACGTTCCCCTGCGGAATGTGAGCTTGGAACGACAAGGTATGCATCGGGGTGAGCTACTTCTCCAGACTCTTCCGAAATCCGATATCAATATCCTCATCACGCGAGCGGTAGAGATGCGCTTTCAGGAAACCAACCTGACGGAAGACATGAAGGATGCGACGCTCCGGATCGAATACGAGATGTTCGGCTAGGTTGTTGGTCGGTCGCAGCCTTACTTTGTATCGCTCTTTCAACTTCCAAGCTTTCAGCCTGCCTCGCTGTGCCAGTGCATCCTGGGATTCCTGGCGGATCTTTCGGCTTTGGATCGATGAAGGAAAGCAGCGCTCAACAAAGTTGGCGAAGGACTGCTTCTCCCCCCATGTCCGAGGCACGTAATCGCCCACCTTGCGACTGTTTTGCTTCGAGGCGCAGTCGATCATCAGTGACGCTTTCACCAAGGCTTGTATTGCGTAGTCGCGCGCTTCGGGGGCCAGAATGTTTGCGAAAAGGCTGTCGAAATCTGCCTTGGTCTGCATTACGTTGCTGATAAGCTTGTTGAAGAACGATATCACCTCCGCGTGACTGGAATACATCGGTGTCCCAATCCTTACTGCGTAATCGCCGGGCGATCCTCTGGTCAACGCTTCGTAGTGTTTGAAGTACACCTCATGCTTCTCCGGTTCCTTCGCAGCCTCGTCACTGAGGAAGCTTTCCGCAATGTCTCTCTTTTCGGCTTGTGTTGGCGGCTCCATGATAGCTTGGTATGCTGCTACCAAACTGCGTCAGTGTTATCCGCCTTATACTGTCGACATTCATGGCCTGCGGTCCCCCTTCTCGCCAGCTCATGGCGTATTTGGGTCCTCCGCTGCCTTGCTAGTGGCTGTGTGGACGCCACCATATGCGGCCTCTTCAGCTGATGCGTGATCCCTGCGACGTCCTCCCAACGTCACAGGACTCGAGCCTGCCGCCACACTGGGTTGCGACGACGAGCTGCGCCATCTCATGTGCGCCACTTTCCTGCTTTCGCTCGCTGGCGTGGCTTTTCTTGAATCCTCTCAAATCGTAGCTCCCTCGTTCCCCAACCCTTTTCCCACATCACTTCCCTCGTGAACCACGGGCGACCTTTTCTAAACCACACAAGATCCAGGGAAAAGACATTGACTGTCCCCTCACGCTGGAGCTCTCATAGATGTGAGAATGGCTACATTGACCCCACCACCACCAGGCTCACCTCCCACGACATCTAAGTCGGCTTCTGGGCAGCATGGGCAGTCTCGGTAAATGCTCCCACAAGCTAAAGAAGGCTTCGCTGACGAATAAAGGCGCTCTCCATCGGATACGACAATAATGTCGAACGCGCGCGCTTCTCATATACCGAGTACGAGTCGAGCTCCGTACACAGCTGGCTCTCGAGCTGATCCCACACCTGCGACTACGCATTCATCGACGAACACGCCCTCTACTCCGACCCTCAATCAACCCGTCAATACACAACCAGCCGACCCACTCAGAGATCCCAAACCACTTCTGGGATGTCAACTCCAGCCGACTATACATGAGTACGAGCACTTTCCGCGCAGCCCTCCATACTACGTTGCTGCTCAACATGTCATGAGCAACTTCGGAGATGCCATGTACAAGACGAAGCACACTTGGAAAACGATGACTTTGAAGACGATGAGACTTTCCGATTACGCTTCACTAGTAAAGTCCAGATTCGCCATGTGTAGTACCATAGGTGCACCGCCGGAGCCTGCAATCGTAGTGGAGTGCCCAAACCGAATACTCAGCCGAGTAAAGAAAGTACTGCAAAGTCGCAATATGAAGAACCAGTACGCTGCTGGTGTCACCCCTGGTCTGGCATTTGCGGTCTACTATTGTGGTAGAGACGATATTGCCTTCGAACTCAGATGGTGCAAGAGCACTGTCACTTTGAATGGGCCTGAGCAGTCTCTTTCTTTATGTGGTACGCGCATGTCGTCGATCCAGGATATCAAGACACCACCTTCAGGTGACGCAACGGTAGCCTGTCTCCTCGAGGTCAAGGGCGATCTTTATGCTCTTGGTCCTGCACATCTTCTCACTCGGAAAAACGCTGCCAAGTCTCAGGAGCAGTTGCTCGCTGAGTTGCTACAGATGGACGAAGACAAAGACGAGGGCATCGCTTGGGAGGAAGATGAAGACAACGACAGCGACTACGAGGAAAGCGACGGTGGTTATGCCTCAGCCAAAGACATCATATCCGATAAGGATATGCTTAACAGTAATACAACACCACCCGATAGTCTCTCTCCTTCGCCACGAGAAGGCACTCACGATCCAAGGGATGAAGGTGTCACGGTTTTGTTTCCGGGCCCAGATGACCTACAGGACGACAACGCGGACGGCGATTGGGCGGTTGCACTCATTCAGAAGCCTGAGCAACAGCTGCCGAACTTGTACTCTGTGGAGCAGCAAGTCTCTGTGCAGGGATCTCCGAAGCAGGAAGCTCCTAAGCTCCGACACATAGTCGATTTTGCGAGTGAGCCATCCAAAGACGATACCGAGCCTATAGTGGAGAGGTCCGTCCATATACTCACCTCTTCCTCGACAAAGCAGGGCAAGCTCCTCCCAGGGTTCGCCAACATTTCCGGTCTAAGCGGACGCGGACACTGCAACGTACATATTGTGGCGATCGACGAATCCGATGGTAAGTACCCCCTTCGTGGCGGCTTTCCTCATCATCTGACGCCATGACATAGGTATCGTAGCCGGCGACTCAGGATCTCTTGTCGTTGATGCGCAAACTTCCCTGGCATATGGTCATGTCGTGGCCACAAACTCGCAAGGCTATGCCTACGTTGTGCCCCTGTACACAACAATCCGTCAGATGAAGGCATTCTTCGGGACCGCCAACGTCCGTTTGCCAGAACCCCTACATCTGTTGTCTCGAGTAGCACTTCATTACGTTGCCACTAAGCATTTCTGCCAAGCTGAAGAAGCTATCATCGCATGCACCGATCTTGTGCAAGATATTTGCAACTCTCGCCAATGGGAGCGACTAGCCCATTGGATCAGGTCTTCCACGGCACGAACTAACCTGCTTGACATTTGGGATGACAAGCTGGCACAGCTCTTTGTAAGTCCACATCAGACGACATTTGTATAACTGTGTCTAACGAACTGAAAGTCTGACAAATACGAAAACCAGTCTATCAGGAAGTGGTTGACAGTGACGCATGCCTTTCGGGAGCGGTTTCGAGCCGAGAACCTCAGCGTAGATGAATATCGCTTCACACCCCACCCCAAGCCCTTCTACGACTTTGCGTCAGCAGTACTCCCACAGATTCTGGAGGAACTCAGCGCGCCCTACAACACGACCTTACGATCGTGTCGAACGTGCCGACATTCTCGCTATGACATCTGCGTCATCACTCCGCTTCTGAATTCCGGTCCCGACGGCATGACTTCCAACTCTTCGATTATCAAAGCAATCATCACTCAACTGTTGTCTGCATTGAACGTCACCTCTTCTAGCCGATTTACTCGGCGTTCTGAGCTCCGACGTCGGTTTCCGTTTACGGGGTATTCCAACGGCCTGCAGAATCTAGCAGTTGTCCTCGACATTCATCTAACCTTGACGGTGGCATGCTCACAAATCGACCTCCATCGAACCAACATCGTGCCCTTCAACGAGCGGCTTGAGTTCCTCGAGCCGCTTACAAAAGGCACGCTCGCATCTGTATACCGCGCGACCTCTTGGTGTGCGGATGCAAAGGGAAAGATCGAGATCGCGATCAAGAAGGTATCAAAGAGCACCACCACCGTGGTTCAATGGCTAAATGAAGAGCGAATTCTCAATCAACTGCAGACATACAACGATCCGCATATCGTCGAGTTGTTGACCTCATATTGCACCTTGGACAGCTACGCACTCGTCTTCCCACTAGCGAACGGCAACATGGATCAACTCATGGAGCGTGATATCCGTGCCTCCAGCCTTGAGCTTACAGCGACATGGGTAGTGAAGCAGATACAGGGGTTGGCTAAAGCACTACAATACCTCCACACCGGGGATGAGCATAAGAAATTGTTTGGGAGACATGGCGACATAAAACCCAGCAACATCTTGTGGTACGACGACGGCGACGCTGAGGCAAACGGGATACCTCCGTTGGGAACCCTGAAAATTGCTGATTTCGGCCGTTCCGAACTGCGCTCCCTAGGTCAAAGACGACCAAGCATCCGTAAGGCTCTTTGTGAAGAAACCCGACTTCATTGTGTCGATTACTCATATGGCACTTATGCTGCTCCGGAGTGCGAGTTACCTACAAGCGTCTGTCCCGATCGCCGGACCTCTGATATCTGGAGTCTAGGCTGTGTGTTTCTGGAATTCCTTATCTGGACTGTAGAAGGCGCAAAGGAAGTAAGACGACTGCACCAGAAGCTTCGCTCTGACGTACCAGGACGAAGAATGTCTTTCTGGCACCTGGAAGTGTCGACACATCAGCTCATGTTCTCTCTCAACCCTCCGATCAGAGAGTATCTAGAGAGGCTATCGCAGTATACGAAAGACAATGCCAAGCTACGGGCTGCCGTTGACCTCCTTGTCTACGGAGGTGTTCTGGACCCAAATCCTCACGAGCGTCCGACAGCGAAGCAGTTGGGAGAAGAACTGAGAAGCATCAGTATCGAAACCGTGCATGGTCACACCGTCGCTAAACGTCCTGTTTGGACACGCCTTTGGACCTACACGCTTGGATACCCACCGGAACACCGCCATACTTGGATAAGGAACGGTTACGACTCCAATATCGTGTTTGGCACACTGTTACTGCCATACCCCAATATGGCGGGTGCAGCATTCCTCGAGAACGAAACCACTATCGATTCGGAGCATTACCAAGACATGGACAACGAATCGCTGTTGCATGCATATGATAGCGACCTAGAGAGCAGTAGTAGCTGCAATCTTGACTCGAAACGGACATGTCCTTACTGCCCTCTCGAAGCTCGCCCCGTTGCTCTCAAAGCCCACGCCAGAGCCGTACATCGTAATCACACAATCCACGAATGTCCAGACTGTAAAGAGCTCTTTGCAGATATGAAGCAGCTTAGGCGGCATCAAAGACAGCTAGGGTTAAGATGTCTCAGCGCGTCAATAGTCGATAGCGAAGATCCTTTCGGAAGAGAGGCGCAACTCTGTTCGCGACTGGCTCGCACCGACAGCGCGACAAGCTTGCGTGGGCAGCACGTATTCGATGATACCTCTATCCGATCGAGGATGCTTTCAACCGAGTACCCCACCCAGATGCGCAGCGGTGGACTGGCGCATAGTTATCATCATCATGATGATGCAGGCGGCCCATATGTGGAGTAATTATTTCCCAACTATGTCTTTACCTTGCCTTGTACAATCTGCCGCCGTCTCTGGAGGCCTCACGGGTATTTGACGGTAGCGATGGATGGTGTTGTTCATTGTTTATTGGTACATATATGTTGGTACTCTTGTATATGAGCGTTTCCTTCTGTTGTTTCGGTCGACTTGTGGCGGCGTTCTCCTGGACTCATTGGTTTTGGTTCGCTGTAGAACACAGCGTGAGCAACCAGAATTGGTGGTTTTGCAATGTACTACTATTCCAGTTCAACATATGATCCCTCGATTACTCAGTCTACATGTAGCACACAAGAAATAGAGAAAGCAAAGAAAGCAAAGTATATCGTTAATACATGGCGTAGGAAATCATGTCCATCATCATAATGTCGTAACTCCCTCCAACCCGTTCACTCATCCCTAAATCACACCAACAATCTCTTACTAAACTTCCTCACACCCTTAAAAGCCTCCAGCCCATCACAATTCAGGAACCTTGTCAGTCTATACACCCCATAATTGTCTAGAGTCTTTCACTCACCTCAAGACTCCATAGTGAGGATCCTTTAACTAGCAGGCGTCTCATTTATCGTCTCAGTTGCATCTTCTGGGTGGCTTGTTCTTATCGCCAACGGGCGTCACTGTCTTTTCCGTTCGCCATACACTCAATGCTTCACTTCACGTCTCTTCCTTTCCTCATCACGGCAAAAGGTCCATCGTCATGCACGTGTCCAGTTTTTCTCATTCCATTGTTCGCATTCGACGTCACTGATGGTACGTCACAAGGCTCGCAAACGCTACGCACCCTCAATTCTACTCCCCGTCACTGTCGATTCACAGAAGCTTCCTTTACCGTTTTGCCGCTGCTCTCACTTCGTAAGCCAATCAGGACGTCGTCGTCGTAATGCGCGCCTTTGGTCCGTGCTTCTTGTTGACTTCGCGCTCGCAAAGCCGCCTTCACTTGCGCCTTCACCTCACCAGATCAGGCCATATTACACGCCTGGAACGTTCTACAGGCAACAATATGCTCACAGACTACGTCAGTCACCTGGTATTCAGACGCGCTAGCGCCGACTGCCGGTGATCTGCCGGCTCACCCTCTGTCTATATAAACCCCCCATTCCCCCGCCTCTCTCCCTCTTACTCCCCACTCGCTCACTTCTCCAACAACTCAAGTTTACTATCGTCAACAAACTTCAGTGACATGGCCGCATCCTTCCAAGTAACTACTTCCTTCCCCTTCCTTCACTTCACTTCGGTCTTGGCTAACATTTTCAGACATCGGCCTTTACTCATGGTGTATGACATCATCCATCAACAATAACCATGAGTAACAACAACATCAACCCTCCCTCACTCGACTGTCGACAGTCAACATGACTTCACTTCACTTCCAACTTTCAGCCTCGCCTTCAACATCACCGCCTCGCATGCCTCACACCTACCCGCCTCGGTCCAACTTACCTACCTCGCTTCGATTCGACCTTCAACTATCTTGACACCCATGTCACCTTCGGTCTACCCCACTACCACATCGAACCCGCATCGTCTTAGTACATCGGCTCATTGCCTCTACTCATCGACATGCACCACTACCGACGGCACCGCGGCACAGGCACCAACCTCTCTGGCACCGGCTCGATTCTCCTTTGACTGTCGACAGTCTCACGCCACTCCTGATCGTATGCGCGTCGCGAAAGTCAAGTTGTGGCACAGGGATGCAGGCCAGGCTGCATGGTTGGCCCTTGAGTTGGTAGCGGTTTGGATCAGAAGGACTGGCAAGAGCGGAGGATCGGTGGTGTTGAGTTCAGTCACTGTCACTGTTGGACACTTTCACATTGGATGTTGATGCCATCTCGAGAGTGCCTCGAGACAACAAGGTTGGAGGATAGACGGTCAATGGCGCTTGCGCTACACTGGGCCTCTTGTTGTTCTCTTGGGTGTCTTCGGACCCCAGGATGGTTGATCATCTTATCTGAACCAGATGGCGGCTTCTTCGGAAGTTCAGGTCAATTCTGGTGACGATAGTGGAGTGTCGGCATGTTCGACGAGCACTGTTCTTGACATCGCTGCTGGTGAGCCCTGGTTTGGTGGATGGTTGGACTTGATGGACTTGATGGTGGTGGCTGGATGGTGCAAGGACTTGGTGGTGTTTGGATTATGGGTTGGCTGGATGGGACATGGACTTCTTGTATGGGTTTCAACTTCAGGGTTTCAACGGTGGTGGTGGTTTAGCTTAGCTGGCATTCTTGGGTCCTCAAATCAACCAATTTTGCCATTTCATCTTGTTTCCTTCTTGTTTCCTTCTTGACTTCGTGACATCTTACTTGTTTAACTTCTTGACTTTGTAACTTCGTAACTTCTTCTCTTCTTGCCTTTACATCTTCTACCTTATGCATTTTACATTACCTTTGGCTACAACACATTCTAAAGGCTTTGTTAATACAACCTTCTAAGGCCTTAGCGTTCCTCGCTATTAAGCTCTAAAGTAGATATTATAGCATACATCCTAAGCAAAGACATGCGCGACTTTATGTATTAATCTCTTACATCTCTCTTAACCTTACTTAAATAGTCTTCTTCTGCAGAGGAAGAGAGTATAAGCGCTACAACTGCAGGTAAACAGCGCGCACACGTGCAAAGCAGGAGATGTATACTAAGCAACTAATGCGCACATTGCATCTTCTACTATCCCTCCTCCAACCCGCTAGTCTAGAATCACGATCTCTCTCTCCTTCCTTCTTCCTCGCCGCCCTCTTACACACGCCATATAATCCATATCCCGCGCTTCCAAC